GCAGATATCAAAAGCCTCCTGCTGTGACACATATATTCAAGTACCATATTTGCAGAACCGATTCAACTTCAGGATCCTGGATCCAAATCAGAAAAAGCACAATCGTATTTTATTTTAACCAATAGATTCTTAGAACTTTTGATGAATTGGTTTTAGGCATGTCAATTTGCAGTTGCTTTCTGACCCAGAGACATTTTTTCCTCACTATTCTGACCAAAGGCTCTTAGAGATGAACTCTGGCTAATTTTATTGTGACAATTACAGATTGTCACAATATTTTTCCAGACTGAACTCAGGCAACAAAGCCAGATGCATGTTTCCCATGCTGACTCTGACACCAAAGCAGCAGCTTCTGGCAAAGGAGCTGGGTCAGGTAACATACTGAGCCACGGCCTTTGTTCAGTGATGTTGCTTCAGCCTCTATATCCAAGTTGTATTGCTTTTTAACTCTTTACACGATAGCCCAGAGAATAAGAGAACTGGGCTTTGTTCAGTTTTCTGCACTATTAGCGGAACTATTTACCAAGACTGTCTTTGTTTGCCAAAAAAAAAATGCCTTCACATCCACAGAGAAAGTAAAGGAATTATTCAGTTATTACAAAAGAAGGAGTACAGGGAGCAGGAGGGATATTAGGCCTTCAGAACATTAAAGTCTATCCTAAAAAGCCAAAAGATGTTAACCACTATATACATATTCTTCTAGTGAAGAAATCTTCATTTCAAAGTACTAAACACAACTCCATATTCTTGTTAACTATACATAACTAGTTATTTTTTCTATCACAACTGATCACTCTTTATTTATATGCATTGTTTTGCTGGCAAAGTTGGTAGCATTTCAAAATGAGAAAATTAGATGCAATTAGTTAACATTGTCTGTAAATACAGTAAAATTCTGCCTGGTTATTTATCTGTTATGTTCTTGCTTTCTTCACCATGTTATGCTAAATGCTGCAGAGAAATAATAATTTTATATCATGGTATTTAAGGCTAAAAGCTATAGCAAAATAAGAAGTCTTAAATTTCAGGAGGTAAAGATACAGTAATTTTTGTTGAAAGTGCAATAAATTATTATTAGCTCTACTATTGTTGCACTTCTGACCAAACTTTCCTATTTATGAAAATGTAGACCTTGTCATGGTTCAGAAAACTTCCAATATTTCTCACCATTTATTTCTCACTTCACCAAGGAAGGTTCGGATTGCACATTAGGAACAAATTCTTAACTGCAAAGGCAGTCAAAAAGTGGAAAACAGTAGTGAGGTGGTTGATGTCACAGCCTGTCAGTGCTCAAGTGGCTTTGAGACAATTTGCTTAGTAATACGCTTTAACTTTTGGTTAGCTCTGAACAGATCAGGCAGTTGGACTAGATGATCTTTGTAGGACACTTCCAACTGGATGAATCTAAGTTTACTGCGAGGCCAATATAAACCAGCTTTACCAGTGGAATTCAAAGCACAAGTGTACTTTTAGTATTTTGACAGAAGGTAAACTCCTTCTAGAGAAGGGATTACACAACTATCCTAACTATCCCACTATCAATCTCAAGATTAATGTATACTCACAAATGAAATCCTGTGTCTTCTATGCTTCCAACTCCACCTGATTTCTTCTCCTTTTCGCTAGAAGGGCTTTTTTTTTTTTTTTTTCCTATACTTTCACCTTATGTTTATTTTAAAAATACTGAATGATGAAAAAGAGTATTCACTTCTACTGATTTTTTTCCCCTCAGACTCACATGTGCATTCCTTCTTCCATTTACTTAACTCTCACATATACTCAAACACAACTTCTCAAATAAGGAAAGTGATAGCGTTCCCACTGACTTTAGTCTTGCTTTTTGACATTCTCTAAGGAGAGAAGAAATGTTTGTAAATTAGTTAATTCACATATTTCACACAAAAATTTTACCCTCAGAGATGGGTAAATCACGTTATACTGTAACTGGATACTAATCAGCACTCAATTTAGCAATTTCCACAGTATGACATTGAAAATTAAAATATAAATAATAAAAGTCTCACTCCCCTAAACCAAGCTAGATCAACTCTATTAGGAAGTTTTATAGAGCAGGTATAACAGGAAAAAATAACAATAAAAATAAAAATATACATTCCAAAAACACAGACAAATGATCAGACATGAGACTGGCAGCATGGTAGGGTGTGCTCAGAATGAGTAACTACAAAATTTTATAGCAAACAGTAGGCTAAGCATTTCTTAAAGAGAATGAAGACATAAAGAAATACATGAATAACCTTAAATCCTAGCAGCACTAGGTGTCTGACCCCTACAAGTTGTGTAATATTTTCTTAGAAGTGTAATTTAATATATTTAATTTATCAACAGATAAGACGAATCTACCAACTTCAGTTTTCATAACTTCACAGAAGTTGCATTCTGCTCTTCAACATAGGTAAATTTCAAATAAAATTAATTATTGGTAATAGAAAATCCAGGAAATCATCAGGATCAAAGAGTTAGTCATTTATTATTATTATTATTATTTTTTAAATTGTAAATCAATACCTGAAAACTTTTCAAATCCTGGGTACTTCCACTAAAGTAGCATCAAGTATGTTCAATCAAGTAGGGTTCAATTAGTACTACAATTATGCCTTAAAATATTAGGTTCCTAAGCATTTGCAAGATTAATCCTCTTTAGCCAGAATGTGAAAACTGAGGATGAGTTAAAATATCTCAAAGAACATAACGGATGAAGTTAGGATAAAAATTGTTTGCTTAATTAATATGAAAGGTTCAGGAAACTTAAAGAGCAACAGAAACCAAACCCTTCTTCCTGTGTAAATGCAGCACAAATAGTTTTAGTTAGCATCTTGTTTAGCACCTGTAGAAAGGCAAACAACTTACTTAATACTTGTAGCTGACAACATCAGTAAAAATCCTTTAGAGCCCTCCTATAAAAGTTGCTTTTATTTGCAAATGTTAAGAGGCTTATTTGGGCACTCTGTATATCCATAAGTTATAGATTTGCACTTTGCATTTACAGGGCTGAGACACTCAGCGCAGAACAATCTGTTTTTCACTACAAAAGCGTCACGTGAAGAGACGTTTGGCAGCAGGGAACTCCAGGGCCCACAGTGGAAGAGGAAACCTGACCTGGTCAAAGAACAACATGAATGCTAAGAAAAGCAAATCAAAAAAGTCAGTCAGACGAACAAATAGAGAACAGGGTAGGAGGGATTTCTTTTTTTTTTTTTTAATCTTTTTTTTTCTTTCTTTTTTTTTTTTTTTTTTTTTTTCAGGAAAAAGAAGTTATGATGTGGGGAAAATCAACAAACTGAAACGTGGAGACCCCTGGACAATTACACCATGGCCACTGGACACACTGTTGCAATGGAACTCTGACACCAGAGCTGTATAGCTCCTCTGTTTAATCACTGTGTCGTCAATAGCTGCCTACTACAGGCTTACAAACAATTCATGGAATCAAATACAAGATTCATAGTACTTTGTCTTAAATTCATCACCACCAGCTTTTTCAATAAGGAAACACCAGATCTAATTGTGCCTCTTCAAAAACTGTGCAAATGGCATTACAAACTTCTGAATTGGAAGACAATGGTGCAACCAGCAAGAACACAATTTACCCAGAATACTGTGTTATGGGAATGTATCCAGCCCAGTGCTCAGAGCAAAGAATGAGAAAAACTTTGGTATCTACTAAACCTATACAGATTTGTTTTGGAAATGAAAAGAAACACAAATCCCAAAACTTGGTAGGATGTACTTGAAATGTAGTTCTTCAAATAAATTCTTACCATCATCCCTTTTCATGAAAATACAAAATTAAAATGAATTACTTTTTCACAAGTTTACATTTATAAATACAATTTCTAGAGGTGTTTTACAAGCAGAATTTTTTATTCTGTAGGAAATCCCTACTCTAACTTCTCAATTCTCTCAACTCCAGAATTTGTTCCTGTTGATACCATTTGTTCTTTTTGTGATTAAAAAAAAAATGTAATTACCTAGATCTCTACTTCAAATAACATTTCCTATCCTTTTTCATTACCCAAAGAAGAATACAAAATACAAAACAACAAAACAGCAAAAAAATATTAATCATAATTTTGTTCTTTATATTCTTCATTCAATCATATTTTTGAATGAAAAGTAGCTTGCTTACATTTTTTTTTTTCATGATACTTCAATTAAAAATATCAATCCATAGATTCTACAACTTTACTTCTTGACATTCCCAACAGGTAGTCTTTCCTATCTTCATACCTAAAATTAGATACTTGGAAATCCCTCTTAATTCAAAGAAATAACATCTAATAATCTAATAATGATGTTCATGATATTGAGCAAAATCTCCATATTCTAAAACCAGTCTTGTTTAAAAACCTGTCTGTATTTCATAACAAAAATAAAATTAAGAAAAAAGAAGCAACTGACTTAACAGACAAAATAGAACAAGAAATTGTTTAACTGAAGCAGATTTTTTTTTTTTTTTTTTTTGCATAATTCCACAATACTAAGCACTGAAACAAAAATAATTTCTGTAAGTTTAAACAAAAAAAAGAAAAAAAGTTTGGAGAAGACATTCTCATATTCAAGTTAATTAAGTTCATAGAGGCTACTATGAAATACAAAAGGTAGCATGTTTCAAGGCATACCTCTATTTATTAATTCTAATTCTTCCCTATAAAATATACCCAAAGCTTCTCATTCTGGAGTGCTACTGACAAACCACCATGTATTACTAACTCATAAATTAGATTACAAAAGAAAATTATTGGTGCTCTCATTACTTATCACCAACTCGTAACAATAAATATCCTCTCTCCCTGCCCATCCTCAATCCCTTACCCACCTTGCCCTGCCTGTCTTCACATTTAGACTGTGGGACATCAAACTCATTGCATGAAATGCAGAATTTAATGTTCTTCTTGCAGTTAGTTACGAGTCAGATCACTCACGTACAGGCTGAAATTTCATGCACTGAAACTTGAATTTTCTTTGTACTGTCTTACCTCATTTTCTTCAGATGTGTAGTATGTTTTCAGCATGTCCATGGCTCTGATCGTAGCTTGCATGGCAGTACATATATTTTGATAAACCAGTTTTGTGAAGCCTTTCCTGTCTTCTTCTGTATAATCTGATCCATGAATAATCCTGATTCATTTAATGAAAGTACTCTTTCCACTTTCTCCTGTCCCTGTGAAGTGGGATGGGAAGAAGAAGAGAGAAAAAAAACTACAACAGTTTAGGCTTTGCAGATTCCAGAAGTAGAAAATATTTGTAAATACACATACAAAGATGTGCTTCTTATCCCACCACACAGTAGTCATCATTAACTGTAGTAATATTTTTTAGTTTCATATAATCTATATGTTTTAATCAAAATATTGGTAGTTTTGTTTGTTTTTCTCTTTAAAAAAAACCATGGCAGTATCTTTTTATAATACATCTTACAGAAATTAACATGAGCATCCCGTAGGTTGAAGCCATATTACAAAATAAGCAAGACAGGTGAGAACAAGAAATAGAAATGTTTGTTTATAGATGAAATTCCTCATCGATGAAAGACTGTGCTAAGTTTATGTACTGTTTATATCTTAATAATGAAGTCTGCAATAATTCTGAACTTGGAGAATAATTTTAACTTTAGGTCATGTTACTTAGTTTAATATTTCTACTGACTTTTATACAAATACTGACGCAAAACTTGCTAGTTCACATTACATAAAGCACACTTGTTACTTTCAACTACTATATGAAATAATGATACTATTAAAAAAAAGATTAACAAGCAGATATTATAAAGTCATTGGGGAACTTACGTCTTTCATATAGTTTTTTTTGTATTTACATATTGCTTTAAGCAGTACTGTAATATTATTCTGGATGAAAGCCTTGTTCCTCAGCTCTCTCCTCTTAGACTTACAACAGGAAAATGTCTGTACAGACTCACATCTACTGTCATTCAGGTAATGGCTTGTATTTCAGAGTCTGTAAGTGGTGGCCATGTTTTACTCTTGCAGTAAAAACATGGAAAGAATATACAATATTTCTCCCACAAAACCCTCCCTATGTCTTAAAACTTTGAGCTTGGTAATGTTATCTATTTGCTAACCAACTCTACTGTATCTCAAGTACTTGGCAAGTCTTTAAAGTCACGGAAACATTTTTCATCCTCAAAATGTTTCAGTAAGGGCTTTCAGAGCTCTAAAACTGTAACGTTTATTTGGAGCCTGGATCCTTCCACCTTCATACATGCTTTTCATAGTTAATAAATTTCCCCATCAACCTTCTCTACACCCTGTTGGTTTTATTAATCTCTTATCATACTCCCCTTCAGCTACAGCTTTTCTAGACTGAAGTGTTATCACCACCTCATTTCAGTTCTTATATGGATAATGCTCTCTAGTTTGATCTTCCCTTTGATTCTTGTTGAGGCTTCCGCAGTTCTATACCTGCATGTACACTGAGAGCAACAAAACTCTAAACAGGAGTATGCTGCTACAGCTTGGTTTTATTAAATGGTATGGACCTTGAAGCTCATCTCTTGATCAGGTTGCCCAGAGACCCATCCAATCTGCCCTTAAATGCCTCCAGGCATCCACAACTTCTTTGGGCAGTCTGTGCCTGTGACTCACCAACCTTCCTAACAGCTAACCTAAATCTCCCTTCCTTTAGTTTAAAACCATTCCCCTTGTCCTATCACTATCAAACCATATAAAAAGTCAATTTCCATTTTATGTATAAGCTCTGCTTAAGTACTGAAAGGCTACCATGAGGTCTCCCTTGAGCCTTCTCTGCCTCTGATTATCTTTCTGGCCTTTTCTGGGCCCATTATAACAGCTCCATCCCTTTCTTTTGCTGGAGGCAGCAGATCTAGATGTAGTACTCCAGATAAGGCCTCACAAGGGCAGAGGTGGTCAATAGCTTCACTCTTCCTGCGAGCCACCCTTCTTTTGATGCAGCCCAGGATACCGTTGGCCTTCCAGGCTGCAGGTGCACACTACTACCTCATGTCTAGCTTTTTGTCCACCAGATTCCTGAAGTCCTCTGCAGGGCTGTTTCCAGAGAGTTCCTCTCCCAGTCTGTACTCATGTACAGTATTGTCCTCACACAGGCGCTACACCTTGCACTTGGCCTTATCAACCCTCATTATGTTCACATAAACCTGCAGATCCCTTCGTCTTATCTGCAAACTTGCCAAGGGTGCACCTGATTCCACTGTCCACTGAAAAATATATTAAACTGCACTGATCCCAAGATGAATGCCTATGGGACACCACTCATCACAAACCTCCACTTAAACATTAAGCCGCCGACCACAATTCTCTTTCTGCAACCTCAGATCTACAAGAAGAAACCATTCAGACAGCCTGCAGCGTATATTGTAAAACTAAATGCCCCATGCTTATAGTAGGTGACACCCCAATAAAAGACACTGAGGATCCCTTTTCCCAACCTGACAATGAGTCACAAGAGGTTTGCTGCCTCCTGGGAGCCAAGATCAGGGACATTGCCAAGAGAGTGCTGCAGCTTATCAAGATAATGGACTACAATCCACTATTGCTCTTTCATGATAGCATGAAGCTGGAAGATTCAATGTGGGCAGAATCTAAGAATAGTGTAAAGCTCTGGGAGCACAACTGAAGAAAACTGGTGCACAGTACAATTTGCCAGTTGGAGGAAAGACGGAAGACAGAAATGGACATATCAATTCCTGGCTACATGGCTGGTGCCAACATTAGAGTTTTGGCTTTTACAACAGTGGGACTTTCTATGAATTTTATAACCTGCCAGGGAGGGATGGGATCCAACTATGTAGAAGAAACAGGGCAATTGTGGCAGGAGGCTACACAACTTTGTGAGGCTGGCATTAAACTGTAGGGCTTGTGGAATAAGGTCAAAAATGGCAATACACATCATTGCAACTGACTGGGTAAAGAATCAGGACAACCAGAACAGTGATGAACGTTCCTTAGCTGCCTCCCATGACATGAGCCAGAAGGCCAGATATTTCAAGCATGTGTACAGATTTGGGGGACTCTTCTGTATGCTCTAAGGGAAACCTGCATCCTCTGCTCCCTTTTCTTCTCTGAAGTGTCTGCATACAGCATGGGGAATAAACAAAAGCAACTAGAGATCTGTGTGTTGTTGCAGGGACATAATCTCATTGTGATCATGGAAACATGGTGGAACAGCTCATGTGACTAGAACAACGCCTGTGCTGCCATTCAGTGAGACCTGAACAGGTTGCACGGTTGTGCAAAGAGGAAGCTTATGAAGTTCAACAAGGGCAAGTATAGAATCCTACATCTGGGAAAGTTATTCTCCCTCTCTATTCTGCCATGTTGAGGCCAAATCTGGAGTCCTATACCTAGCTCTGGACTCCTTGGTTCAAGAAAGTCAGGGAACTGCTGGAGATAGTCCAACAGAGGACTACAGAGATGTTGAAGGGCCTGGAGGAATAACTCTTTCAGGAGGAAAGATTGGTGCTGTTTAGCCTGGTGAAGACTGAGAGGGGATTTTATCAGCATTTTTAAATATATAAAGAGTAGCTGTAAAGAGGATGGTGCCAGGCACTTTTTTGTCCAACATTAGGATGAGGAGCAACAGGTATAAATACAGAAAATTCCATCTAAGCATGAGGAAGAACTTTTTTACTGTGAGGGTGACAGAGCACTGATCTAGACTGCCCAATGAGGTTGTAGAGTTTCCTTCTCTGGAGATTTTCAAAACCTACATGGACGCTTTCTGCTTTAGAAGGGGGTTACTTAGCAACTAAATGATCTCCAGAGGTCTCTTCCAACCCCTACGATCCTGTGATTCTGTGATGCTGTTATTTCTTATCCACCATATAGTCCATGCTTCAAATGGGTATCTCTCCAACGTGGAGATAAGGATGTCAGCTAGATAGCTTAGATAAACTGATGCAATCTTTCCACTGTAGAAGTCACCAGACTGGTCAGGTACAATTTGCCATTGGAGAAGATGCTGGCTGTTTCAGAACACTTCCTTGTCTTGCATGTACCTTAAAATAGCTTCCAGAAGGAGCTATCTGCTCCATGATCTACTCAGGCACAGAGCTGAAGCTTTTAAAAACCTTTCCTGTAAATTTTCAGTAGTTAAACAATAAAATACATTCCAGGTGAGCTTTAGGATTGGCCAGTAAGATAACATATCCAGTAAAAAGCTTAAAGTAATTTACATGCAGTACCACTAGGTGTCGAAAATACATCAGTAGCACACAGTGGAAGAATTTCCTCTATAAAAATCACATGTTCAGATTTAACAAAACAGAAAAATATTCCAAGTCCCCATTTCATCACATTATATTTCAGTAAAATGCTGTTTCCATAGTGAAACAGCATGTGACTCCAGGACTTCAACCATTAACAATAACAGTAAAAACCAGATAATCCAAGAGAGTAGAATATGTTATCAATTATTACTTGTACATCATAGCCATTTTCTCTAAAACATATACCACTGAAAACAGTTCTTAATCTAGGACCTTATCCCCATTTTTTCATTATCCATTGTGGACATTCTTTCAAAGATGTACCTTTCCCGTGCACAACGTAACATTCAACAGTCTCTATGACACTGCTAGCACAGCACTATTCTACACTACCTATAGTGCTCATCAGAAGAAGGCTGTAGAAAAGAGTAGTTTCACTCTTTTCTATCAATCAATAATCAATAAAAAATATTTAATATTTTTTTCTGTGAGAAGATTAACATATCTATTTTTTTAAAGAAAAATGGGATTGTTCTAATTTTGGCATTTTATTGGTTTAATTGAGAGAGACGGGACATATAGAGACATGATGGAATAAAGGTGAAACACAAATTCTCAAATGAATTTGTTTTAATAAAATGCTGATGTTATGTTACATTCCACAGTCATCAGTGAAGCAGCCCTGGCAGGCCAATTTTAAGGTAAATACAACTCAGATACAACTCATCTGGAAAAAGAACAACAGAAGAAACAAACAAACAAACAAACAAATAAAAAAACACCCACAACACAAAAACACAGAGCCCATTCCACTGCCTGCAAAACTATTTTTGATGGGAAAAATGCACTGATAAATCCAGGTTGAACTGCTGGCCTAAATGTGTACAGAGGTCAGAATAAACAGTCTCATTACATTACAGCAATGCTCTCTATGAATGTTTTTAAAGAAAATTTCAA